ACCCGCGTGAAAGGGTCTCGGGGCGGTTTTTGGCGCGGGATGGCATGGGGTTCGTGCTTCCCTCAGGGCCGTGTCAAATGCGTCGGATCTCCGTTCCCCCCGCCTTCGGGAGACCGTTTGCAGCGTTAATACATCGGAGATTTCGAAAGGGTCTTAGGACCCCCTGAGTTCGCGTCTCGGTCGGGATGTGGCGGCGGATTCGATGGGCGCGACCCCCTCGCCGCCGAGCGCGGGCTCGCATGGCGCGCCGAGTGCGTCCGCGGCGTTCGCTCGGACGGGTGGCTCGCGCCACGGAAAGACGAGGCCGCGCGGGGAAAACCGGCGCCGGGCGGGGCGCGCCCTGCGCCGAAGCGTCCAGCTTGGTGTCAGAACGCGGTTCTGCCTGCATCTGCAGTGGCGGGCCCGGCCGCTCCTCTGCGGGCGCCCGGCCGGGCGCGGCGTGGGGGGGCCCGCCCGCCGCCGCGGGCGCCGCTGGCGCGGGGCCCGCGGCCACCTCCGCGCCCGCGGGCCCCGCTCTGGCGGCTGCGGCCCGGGTGCTGCAAGAGAGCGCGCGTTCGCGCCCAGTCGGCGCGCGGCCCCGGAGGGGCGCGCGCGTTGCCCGCGCGGCGCAGAGCTGAATTCTCGCGCGCGGTCGTTGCCCGCGCGATGGCGGTGGCCGCGTCCGCGCGGCGGAGCGCGGGCGCGGGCGCGTTTCGGGGGCCGTCCGGCGACCCGCCCAGACGTGTGCCGCGGCGCAGAGGCGGCCGTGGCGCAGCCGGGCTAGGCGCGCCAGCTCCGCGCTTGAAGGAACGAGGCCTCGCGCGCTTGGAGACTCCAGCGTTCGGGGGCTGCCGGTCCGAGGCCGCGATTCGCGGTCGATCGGCGGGGCGTCGGGGAAGGTGCGCGTCCGATTGGGCGCGTCGCGTTTTTCGCTCGCCGGATCGCGCGCGAGCGGCGGCTGCGGGGCCGCGCGAAGGCGAGCGACGTGCTGTCCTCGCCCGAGCGCCGCGCAGCTTGTGTGTGCAAGTGCCGGCGTCGACTCGACGCCCGCGTTGCCTTCGCCGCGCTCGGTGGAACTGGCGGCCGCCCGAGGGTGGGCCAATTGCTGCTCTCGCCGCGGCGACGCGCAGAGACGTGCTGGAGTTCCGCTGCCTCCCGCGCGCAGCCCGCGAAGGGGGGGGCCCAAGTACGGGGGCGAATTTCCCAGAGATCGTGTTTTTAAGTTCCCGGGGCAGGCTCGGGGCCGCAGGGCGCCCCCGAGAAGGCGCTGCAACAGACAGGGGTGGAAACGTGCCGGAGCCGCAGGTCCAGCGCGCTAGACTTGTAGAGTTCGGCGTTCCAGCGCCCAGCTTCCGTTCGCAACCAGAGGGGCTTTATCCTCGGTCTCCAGAAGACCAGCTGTTGTTTGCGGGTTGTTCGGTTGGGTGCCTCGCAGGCGCCCCGTGCTTCGGTTGGCGTTTTTGTGCTGTCGGCTGTTTTTCGCTGTCCCTCGCGCGGCAGCGCCGCTGGCCCAGCCGAGGGCCCTCCGCGCCCGCCTCCGTCGCCCCCTCCTGACCCCGCCGGCAGAAAGGTTTAGATCGGGAGCGTTTCTAAGGCAACTGGGCCAATGTAAAGTTTGTTGGCGTTTATATAAACGCGTTTTCTGTTTGTGGAAACTTTCCGGGGCTCTCCCGCGCGAGACTTTCTGCTTCGGAGAAGTTTAGGTTGATTTCATATGGAGTTTATATATATATATGGCCTGGTGCCTAAACTTTGTTTTTGGAGTTGATCTAAACTTTTCGATGCACGCCCGTGCGGGGTGGGCCCCGGGCGCCGCGTGGGGCTCTTGCCAGCGCCGCCAAGGGCCGACGCGCCCGTGGTTTTTGCCCTGGCACGAGCGCGCGAACGTCCAATGGTTTTGAGCATTGACCGTGTGCCAGCACAAGGAAACGCCAAGTTCGAATGCCAATGAGCATGGCAGCTCCGCTCCGTTCGCATTGAATGTCGCGGCGTTGTCGTTGGTTGACTGTCGAGCAGTTTCCGCTCTCAGTTCGCGCGTCGTTTGACGGTCCCATTGGTGTAAAGTTCCTCATGTGGGGGGCGGGGGGCGTTTTTCATGTGTTCATTGGTGGTCGCCCGCGGGCGCCGCGACGGGCGGCGACGGGAGGCGCGGGCGGCGACGGGCCGGGATGGCGGCGACGGGCGGCGACGGCAACAAGCAACGACGGGCGGCGACGGGCGGCGCGGCGGCGATTTCGCGGGGAGGGTCCCGAAATTGTTAATGCAAATGAGAACCCCTAAGTGCAAACATTTGTTTGGGGAATGCGGCTTTCGTTTACTTCGCCTTATTTGCAGAGACCAGAGGCTCGAATCTAGGTCGCAGATGCATGGATGGAAGACTGATGTTTGTTACAAGCGGGTCTATTGGTTGAGTTTCTCATCGGGGTCACGATTCGGGCTGTAAATTTTGCGAAACAGTCACCCCATATGGGGGGGGCGGTCCTAGTACAACACCCGAATATTGGCTGACACTTCGTTGCCACGCATGACATCACTCTTTTGCATTCCTTATTGCTCGCCAGAGGAGAGAAAGGCAGTTCTTTTCCCAAAGGGGCCTTCGCTTGAATGGCAGCCCCCCCTGGGTACAGGTCTGGGACGCTTCTTCTAGCTTCTTCTAGGGAAAATAAACGGTTTGTAGTGGCTTGCGAGGAGGGGGCTTGGGAGCGGAGGGTGTGTTGCGGCATTGTTGGTCCATCATGAGTTTACTCTGTTCCTTCTCTTCCACAAGTACTCAATATGAATACTACTCTCCCTCTTCCCCTGATGACGGCCTGGGAGTAGCCGACCCCCCCCCGCGTCCTGCTTTTTTACACAGGGGATTCCTGGGAGTTGGGTTTTCGCTTGCATTTTTTTCCAAACTGCTGCTCTCGCTGAGGCGCCGGCCTCATTTTCGGGCCCCGCTCGTTCCGAATCGTGCTCCCGCTGCAGCGCTGGCCTCATTTCCGTGCTTCCGCTCATTCCGAATCGTGCTCCCGCTGCAGCGCTGGCCTCATTTCCGCGCTTCCGCCCGTTTCGACTCGTGCTCCCGCTGCAGCGCTGGCGTCATTTCCCGTGCCATGCCACAGCACACGCGCACACACGCACACGCACACGCACACGCACACGCACACACGCACACACGCACACACGCACACACGCACACACGCACACGCACACCACACACACCACACACACATACACACATACACGCATACACGCATACACGCATACACACATACACACATACACACATACACACATACACACATACACACATACACACATACACATACACATACACACATACACACATACACACATACACACATACACACATACACACATACACACATACACACATACACACATACACACATACACACATACACACATATACACATTCACACAGTCACACATTCACACATACACACATACACACATACACACATACACACATACACACATACACACATACACACATACACACATACACACATACACACATATACACATATACACATATACACATACACACATACACATACACACATACACACATACACACACACCACCACCAGCACCACCAGCACCATCACCAGCACCACCACCACCACCACAACCACCACCAGCACCACCACCACCACCAGCACCAGCACCAGCAGCAGCACCACCACCACCACCACAACCACGCACACACGCACGCACGCACGCACGCGCACCACCACCCACTACGCACGCGCGCGCGGAGCCACAGGTCCGCTGCGACACGCGTCCGCGGATAGAGAAAATCGGCGCCATGGTAAGGGATGGGAGGGAGGGGCAGGACGTCAGATATGACGCGAGCGCACCTAGCTTGTCATCCTCCCCTCTCCTCCTCGCCGTCCCCCGATACTTCTCGTCCCGCCCTCCTCTTCCTCCCTCTCGCCCCTTGGGGCGCCGACTCCTGCTGCCGCTGCCGCCTGCCGCTCGCACGGGGCACCGCTGGGCTGTCGCGAACATGGACCGCCAGATGGCTGTGGACAGGGGGGGGGCAAGGAAGGCGAGGGGAGGGAGGAGCGTGGAGCTGGGCAAACACGACGCGCCTCGTCGTATCCAGCCTCTGGGCACCTCCCGCGCTTCGCGCAGCGATCGCGGCGCTCCCGAGGTCGGTCCACGGCAGCAGGCCCTCCCCCTACTCGAGTGGCGTGCCGGGCCGCCCGCACGGCGCCCGATGGAGGCAAAGGTTGGGCAAGTGCCCAGGTAGTCCTGTGTGGGTACGCATTGTTTATTTATGATTCTTCGAGTTCTTTGATTTTTTTGTACCAAAATCCTTTCACTTCTAATTGTTCTATCCTGGGCCTCTTCCTGGCCACTAGGGGGCCAGGAACAATTAGCAGCGACCGCAATTAGAAATGATCACGATTAGACATGAACGACGCGTAGTCTGTGTGGGTACCCAGCGTAGAGCCTCTCCAACAAGCAGTCGTGTGTGCTGATGGTTGCCCCTGCGGTTCCTGGTCCAAGACCGTGTGCCCGTGCGGCCCTGCCGGCGAGACGTCCTTTCTCAACTGCTCGAGGGAGCACGAGGGAGTGTTTTGCCCACTTTGGCGTGCCAGCGCGGGCCCCACGCGTCGAAGTCCCGTACAGTCGCGACCAGTTTGGGTGTTTCGGTGGCAGCCCAAAGGGCTGCCCATTCAGGTGGAACGCCAGAGCGCACAACTCGAGAACACGCACTTACACGATGAGAAAAAATGGCGTTGTCATTTTCCATTGTGCCACAAGTGCATATATATATATATATGTATGTATACTTATATGCTATATGCAACCGTCCCCCTTCCCTTTCCACCTCCTTCTCGTCCTCCTCCCTCTTCCTCCTCCCTCCTCCCTCGTCCTCCTCCCCCACAGCTTTCCCTCCTCTTCCTTCCTCTCGTACTCTTTCTTCTGCTCCACCATTAGCATCTCATGTTTCACTCGCGTGTTCATGGTCCTCGCTGCTTGCTTCCCTGCCCCTGCCCCTACAGAAGATGCAGTGGGAGTCGAATTGCAACATCAACATGAAAGTCTCGACCCGCGTCAAGGAGTTCACGATGGGCTTGACCAAGCTGAGGTTGTTTGGTGAGGCGCCAAATATGTCGTGATCCTCCTCCTGGTCCTCCTCTTCCTCTTCCTCCCTCCCCCTTCTTCTGTTCCATCTCCCTCTTCCTGCTCCTCCCCCCCTCGTCGTTCTCGTACCCTGCCTTCTCGTCATCACTCGGCACCTCCAATTCGTCACCATCACCATCACCACCATCACTATCATCTTCATCGTCATCATCATCAGCATCATCACCATTATCATCATCAGCAGCATCGTCATCATCATCATCACCCTCATCACCATCATCACCATCACCACCATCATCGCAATTGTTATCGCCATCGTCAGCGTCATCATCATCATCATCACCAGCATCATCATCCTCTTCTTTAGTAGCATTAGTGTTATTGTTGTTGTTTCTGTTGTTGTTGCCCTTGTTTTCCCTGCCATCATCATGTCCGTCGTCATCATTATCATCATTATCATCATTATCATCATTATCACCATCATCAGCATCACCATCACCATCACCGTCCTCTTCACCATCATCACTATCATCACCAGCATCATCACCATCACCATCATCACCATCACCATCACCATCACCAACACCATCACCATCACCATCACCATCACCATCACCATCACCATCACCATCACCATCATCATCATCATCATCATCATCATCATCATCATCACCACCATCCTTAGCCATTGTTGCTCAAAATGGCGCGATTAGGGCAGGTGTCTGGTCCCATGTGGCTGTTCCCAGTTGTCGCGCCACTTCTTGGGTCATATTCAAAATAGACCAAGCTTTCAGCGAAGCCTCCGCGGTCACAGTTTCTCGATTTCCATTTCCTTTCCGACACCCTGCCCCGGTCGCCCGATCGGGAGCCTTGCTTGCGCGGGCTCGACCAGTGGCAGGGCTTGGTGGTGGTGCTCGAGGTGCCGCGCGCGGTGGCGGTGGCACGGGCGACAGAGGAGGCAGACCAGGTTGCGGTCGGACAGGCGGTAGTGGCGGCGCACGCAGCCAGCCCAAAGCCTGTGATTGCCCACGGTCCGGCGCCAAGAAGAATTGGGGCACCAGGCGCGTCTGTCGCAGCTGCGGAGACGATTGGTGGGAGCAAGGAGCTGTGAGCTCATGGTGGGCTAGCATGTCACAACTGGACGCCCAGGAACACCGCGAACTCAACCAGTTGTGGCGGAAAATCAGGAAGCTCGAAGCAGGAGTCAGGAGGGCACGCACCTGGCAGCGACGTCGGAGCAGGTTCAGAAGCCAACTCCCAGCCGCAGAGTAAGGATGAGCGTGTGCGTCGTCTTGACAAGCTACGAAGCAGTAGCAAGAAACTCGACGACGTGGAAGGTGCAGAAGAGGTCTTCGCCGCCCAGCCTCGCGAGGGAGAGCAACTCTATTCGGAACACGCCGAGGAGAAGCCCGCATCCGTTCAGCCCAGCGAGTTGGGGCGCAAACGGGAGAATCAGCAGAGCGCGACGGAGGCGCTCGAGCGGCTGATCAACGGCATCATGCAGGAGATCGGCGCGCCCAAGGCCAAGAAGGCTCCAGTAGCTGTTCGAAGGGTGATGTTTCTTCTCGCAACATGTCTCACCGCTGGCACGAGCGTTTCGACTTGTACCGCCAGTTCATTTGCTTTTTCTAGGTTGCACGTTCGCGAGCTCGAGCGAATGCCAGACCTTGCTTCTTAGGCCCCTGTCGGTCCCATCTCCCTCCTCCACCGCCTCCAGAATAGTCAGCAACCATTTTTTGTCCTCCTTCCTTCCTCCCGCCTTCTTGGGCCTCATGCAACTTCCAGGGGCAACCTGGCCACCCCAGCATTTGACCAACAGCCATGACGCATCCCCCCCCCGCTCGCGCCCACCTTGCTCGTCTTCCTCCTCCTCCCTTTTCTCGTCCTCCCCCCTTCTCCCTCCTTCTCCTCCCTCCGTGGCCCTTTTGGCTCAAGTCCGTAGCGTTGCGCTCAGGACTTGACATTGGCAGGAGGGATCCGCGGCCCTCGCCGCTTCCGTGCTGCCCAGATCGCCTACCCTGGCTGGTGGCGCAGCATTCGCTCGCTTCCACATGCCGGTTCGGGGCCGTAAGTCCCGCGTGATATTTCTTCAATTTTTTCGCTGTGCGATGGCAGATGGTTTTCCTGCTGCCAACTCGCGCGCGGCATGGGCTGGACCCTGGTATTGCCGTCGGTGCTTGCGCCCCAAGTCGGGGGGGCGCTGGTGGAACGGGGGCGGCGAGAGCACATGCGCGTAGCGTCGCGCAGCGAAGGTCACGTCGCTCGGTGGGCCCAGGGCCCCGAAGGTCCCAGGCGCCATGTCATGCCCAACGGTGCCGGAAAGGGCCAGCAGCATGTTCTGCGCGACAAGGACCTTGTGATCGCGCGTCTCTCCAAGGCCCTGCAAGAATCCAAGGGGGCCCGGTCTCGTGGCGCCCAGGCGCTGCGACCTGAGGCCGAAGGTGATGGCCCCGACCAGACGCGCTTGGCCGAGATCGCGGTGTCGCCCCGCCAGCTTGGTTTGCCCGCGGACAGGGTCCTCGCCAACCGACCTCGTCGAGGAGCGCGACGGGATCAAAGGTGGGCTGGTCTCCAGCAAGCCGCGCGCCGCCCGGGCGCAGCACTGGGCGACCAGGGTCGGCGCGCTCCGGGGCCGGATGGACAAGCGGGACCAGGCCACCAAAAGCATCAAGCAGCAGCGGGCTGAGGTCGCCCAGGAGTTGCAGGAGGCCCGCCGGGTGGCGCGAGTGTTGGCCAATGAGTGGGCTGAGCTGGAGGTTCATCGACGCAGTTGCTACGAGGTCGCCCGGTCCGGAGCAGGGCGATTTCACGCTCGAGACCTTGGTTCCCGCTCTCGACCTACCTGTTGGAAAGCTGGGGGACTTGTTGGCGCCGGCTGGGGCCGATGGCATGCTCCGGGCTAGCGTCGCGAAGTCGTTCGAGGCCCTGCGTGACCTCGAGAAGAAGGCTGAGGGGGGCCGCTCTGCGAGCTCTGGTGCCCAGCTGCCACCGCCGCGGCAGCGCGTGCCTTCGCGAGAGGGGCGTGTGACAGCGGACGCGACGGCGGTGCCAATGGGCGCGGGCGATTTGGAAGAGCTCGACGCCTTCCACCGCGAGTTCTTGGACTCGGGGCCATTGCAGGAGGAGGGGCAGATCATGGCGGCCGTCAAGCACTGGGCCACCGCCGCGGATAATGCGAAGCGGCAGCGAAAGACAGCGCGAGAACATGCAGCAGCCGCTGGAGCAGCTTCAGCATGATGAGGGCTATCGTTACAGGATGATGGCCACTTGGGAGTTGCCGGTTACTGTGTCATCTGCATGCTGCGCCGAGCGCCTGTCGGCGCGTCCCTCCCTTGACCGCGGGTGGCCATGCTTTCGCGTGCCGG